CATTTACTGCGCTTATTGTGCGGAGGTGTTATTCTATTTTATTAATTTATTTCATAATTGAATAAATAAAATGCAAGAACGTAAGATAACGCAGAGCGCATGCTCATTGCTCTGATTATTTTCGTCACCTGTCATCTCTGCGCTACCTGGTTTCATACAGCGGGAGATAGAGTGACAACAGCCACAGTACGCTCCTTTTGATTTGTTACTTCTTGCTTGTTGCTCCTTTGGTCAGTGTTCATAGTTGAGTGTTTACCGTTAGTGCATTGTCATGATTGCTATGGTTAATGTTGCAGACAGTGGAGGTCTCTGAAATTGGCTATATGAGCAACCGCCCAGGGCATTATCTTCTTAGGGACGACATGAGACCTCTGCAGATTGTGGCACAGATGGAAGCAAAACAGAACAAAGAAGAGTTTGAATTGATAATGATTGGTTAAATTTATTTAAGCTCTAAGTATTTAATATATAGGTGTTTTTATGAGAATGTGGATCTTTCAGATCAATTTAAGAAGCAATTTTGATCATATTTCACATTTTATTGTATCATGTAAGACGGGGTGCTGGTCTTGGTCTTGGACCATAAAAATCCTGGTCTTGTCTCGGTCTCGATGCACTCTGGTCTTGGTCTTGTTTTGGTCTCAGGTTACGTGGTCTTGACTATAACACTGTGTTTGGTTATAGCAGTTGTTTTCCAAATTAAGGTCAATAATGAACAACTGTTTACTATAATTGCATCAGATATTTAGCAGCACCATGAAATAGTGAAATATGCAGGAAACCACAGGGTGTCAAACATTACAATCCCTATGGACTGACTTATTTATACATGTAACTTTTCAAGATTTTTCTATGTAAAAAAAAAGCCTTCATAGAGGATATGTTATGCTTTTTATTGGTATTGTATTTAGCAATTCTCTTGTTTCAATCATTTAAAATGTTGGTATTTGTGTCGACATTATCTATTGAATAAGTTTTATTTCTGTGTGCTACAACACCATTAAAAAAAACAAAGAAATGGCTTATGAAGACATTTATTTGTTTGCCATTTCCACAAGGAAACAACATATACTTTTTTCCAACACAAATAAATGGAAGCAATACCAAAATTAAACACATGGATGTTAACTGTAGCCAGGAGAGGTCATCAATCAGACTTGATCATCATCCTGCTGACCTTCGCCGAATAAGGCACTGGCTTCCAGGTGAGCCAGTGGAGGCCTGACCCCCAGCCAATCGGGTCGTCTGAAGAGTGCCAGTCACCGTTCAGGGCAGCGGAGCCGCAGCTGCTGTACCACCAGCCGCCACCATGGTTGTCGGTACACTTGTTGAAAGCAATGTCTCCCTGAATGCATGGGGAGCAGTTGTCGTTGTCGCGGTCGAAGGTACTGAAGCCAGCACCGTTTTGGTCAATGCCCGGGTAGGCACCGCGGATGGCGTCACCTGGGTGAAGAGACGGAAACTTTTCATCAGCCAAAAGAGATCGCTTTAATTCTCCAAACTGAGGTTTTGGAAAGTGTTCAGTAACAGAGACCTTAGATGTTACTGGGTCTCTGTTTATAAAAGAAAATAGAACTGAAATACTTTGTAAAACTTTGTTTTTTTCCAAAAACTCCACAGAATACGTCACCTACACAGAATGATTCATCCTCTTCTTACCTGCATCTCCACTGTACGTCCCAACATGCAGTCGATAAGCCGTTCCCTCATCTCCGATTCTAAAATCTTGGTACTCGGCAAACGCGTGGCCACCTCCATGATCCCACAGGTCCACCCTCAAAGTCCACACTTTATTTGTGTCATTAGTCAGCATGTGCATTTTCTCTAGTCCGAGCCAGTGGTCGTCTAAGGAATCAGAGGAGCAAATAAAGACAAACATCCAAATTTAGTTCCAATAACTTTGCCAATAAACAAAGTACTTGATAGAAGCTACTCCTGCTTGATTTTCATCCAACATTCAAAATGTTTGTCAAGCTTTCAAAAAGTTTTTTACATTTTCAAAAGTCATAATTGGCACACAAAGTCACAATAAGATGAGTCACGTACAAGTCAGGGATCCAAACCCGTGTCTGTACTGAGCCCATCCTCTGTCAAAGGACACCACTCCTCCACTTCGCCTCTGGATGACGATCCAGCCGTCCGTTTGACGCATCTCACAGTACACCTGAGGAAGGAAGTCCAGGAGAGAGTATACCACAACACAGTGTCATCATGTTTTAATGTTTATCTAAAAGGCTCAAATAGTTTCTGTTGAAAAACAAATCGATTCAAGCCGCCCAGAAAAAGACCTGGTCAGTTAAAATTAGTTTTGGAAAATCCATTTTCTAGATAGACGTAAAGAAGGAAACCTTCATGTTCGTTCAAACTTACTAAAACTGAGGAGCATCACACTGTATGTGCATCAGTGCGAAACATTTTTCAATTCTTGAAATGAACAAAATAGCACCAAAACGGTTATCTTTTTTATACAGTGGAGTATTGGGGTCATTGTAGATAGAAAAAAAAATACTCAGAAATTCTGAGATTAATCTCACATATTTTCTAGAAGTACCCTGGAAATTTCTAAGCTCTAAAAGTAGAATATTTGTGAGGGTAAAAAAAAATCAGAAATTTTCTACTGGGTCACTATCACCGCTGCTAACAACTAAAGTATGGGATGTTCAAACACATTTTTTGTCCCTGTCTTCTATTAAATAAGTAAAACTAATCTAAGTGAAGTTAGCTTGACATAAAAAGAGCCGCTAGCCATTCTGATAGCTACCCTGATGTGAGTTTCGGTTCCTGTTGGCTGGATGACGTAAACCCCGCTGCTTGCGTGTGGCGACTGAGCCCGAATCTTTGAGCAGTCTATTCCCCCAAACGTTTTCAGGAGGAAAAAAAACATAAGCAATTAACAGGATATCAAATGGAGTCTTTAAATATACAAAAAATAAAATTATAGCAAAACTACATACACATCATTAGTAAAGGAAAGCTGCTTACCTTCAGGAAAGTCTGCTCCCTGTATGGCAAAAGAAAAAAACAAACAAAAAACAAAATGATTAGGCAGGGCTTAAGAAATTGTTCAGGTCTTCATATTTTAAGAGGTCCAGTCGTTACCTGGACGGAGCGGCTCAACAGAGCCGTCATTATCAACCCAAGGAAGCCAAACAGAGCCTTCATTCTGACCTGGTTATAAGGCAAACACATTAGAATTGACTTTTTGAAGAAAAGAAAGCAAAAGAAAAAAAAAACAAGCTGACTTATTTGCAAACCACTGGATAAAAGTGTTTGCATCTGCGTTGTCCTTCCTTAGACACGTACCGTTTTACCGGGTGAAGATTGAATCTTAGGATCCTGAGAGGAATCAGTTTCCTTTAAATGCTGAAACATTACACCACACCTCCCTCTCCTTTATGATAACTTTTATTTTTTGTTTTTGGAAGTCACTTGATTTGTGAGGAGCAGTGACCGTCCTCCAACTCATGTCAGACAGAACTCTGAAAATCTGATAAGTGCGGCACGATTAAGCACCAAAAACATAACGTTTCTCGAAAAAAGATGGACGATAAACGGATAACGTATTGTGGAAGATATTTTTTTGCTGTACTGAATTCAGTTTAAGGGTTTTGTTATGTTTCTAAGACATAGAAACTTAACTTAGTTACTTTCTCTGGTTTTATGTAAGATTTCTTGTTGGACATGGAAAAGAAATCGTTTACATAGTTGATTTCTTAATACTATATTGAAAAAAAACAAATATGTAAAAGGTGTACAGTATGTAAGACCATATTTCCTTTCTAATGGTTCTGAAGGACTGTTTGGGTTTTTCTTTTTCTTCAGCTTCAAGAGAACCATCACTTAGCAATACTGAAAATTCTACAGATATTTTTCCCCCTACAAATTAGTTGAATATTATGTTGCTGTATTATCATAAAGGGCACTCAACTCGTTTAGGACTATTATTTGCTATTTGTTTCCTCTTGATATACAATTGTGCGCTGCTTTGTGTTGATTGAGCACATAGAATCCCACTAAAACCATTCAAGTTTGTGGATGTGACAAAATGCTAAGAAAAAAGTTGCTCTCCAACAGGTTTCATGTCTTTGGTGACGCAGACGTCTATGATGTTTTCCATCATTTTGCCTTTGAGTATCTTCTCTGTTAAGATATCGGCTGATTCGCTTGTCAGTGTGCAGGACAAACAGTCCTGTAAGTAGAAAACATTTGAACTCGTCATGTAATGTGGCCAAGATAAAAACAGACACCCATTGAAAACTCATAAGAGAAGGCATATGTGATATTCAGATTATCTTTACTGTCACTCAGCTTAACATCAAAGATACACTGTAGAGTGAAATTATGATGAATATTAGGTCACAAACAGAAGCCAGCCAAAAAAACTAGAGCGATATGAAAAGAAGTAGAACATAGAATGAAAACCAGATGAAAAAAGGCGAGGCTGTATAAATATATAAGTGCAGACCTTTGCAATTTTTACTGCGGTTCAGGACAATATGCAAATTGAAATGGATCAAATGAAGAGGGAATGTGACCTTTGACCAACCTTTCAAAAGCATTTCATGATTATGGGTGTAAGCGCTACTGGCTGATAGCCATTCAGGTTTTTTAAGAACAGGGATGATTACAGAGGCTTTGTAGCAGGATAGTCCAACAGATTGAGGCAGGAAGATGTTGAATAAGGACATGCATCAATTGATCTGCACACTCCTTCACCCTAACAGGTCTGGTAGATTTTCTTGGATTCGTCCTCCTAAGGGTCCATTGGACATCAGCTGGGTCAAGACATAGTGCCTCTTCCTCCTGACAGGGAGTGATTTTTTACTGCAGGTAAACTGTCCAAAATAGATATTGAGTTTGTTCAGGAAGTCAATGTTGACATCACAGGAAGTGGTAGTGATCCTAGTATGTGACAGATTTATTCCTCTGCCACAGGCTGCTGAGTGCCAACAGTTCACTGAGCCTGATGTGTACATTTTAGTAAAATTCATATTTGGTAAAGAGACACTTTACTCCTGCAATATCAGTTTATTCCATTTTATCTATGCTTTCCTCCATGTCCGGTCACTAACCTTCATAGAATGTTTTCCATAGTCCTTAAAGTTTGTGTTTCTGTTATCTCCTCTACTCATGCTACAGCTAGCATCTATGCTAATGGCACAAGCAATTTTGCCATGTTTAGCATAATTTGTGTTGTTCATGCTTTGATTGGTTGTAGTCCAAATCACATTAATATTAGTACTTAGAGTGGCTATACGTATGCGAGATAGAGCCTTGGCAGAGAGTTGGTTTCTCCTCTGTTTTTGGACAGGTTCTAATTCGATGATTTCTTAATTCTAGTTTAAAGCTAATCTTGAGCCTCATCTGTTTTGATTTATACAAATCAAAAACACAGAAAAATATTCCACACATAAAAACCTTTATTTTCAGTTTTATTTTTTAATTGAAAACTTGCATGGTTGAACTTTCTCTTCAAAGACCCATGACATCCATAATTAGCCAAATTAAAAACGTAAATCCAAAATAAAAAGCAGAATCAATTGGATTTGATCATCATTCTGGTGGCCTTTGCTGAATACGGCGCAAGAGGTTTCCACGTGAGCCAGTGGAGACCCGAAGCCCAGCCAATGTGATCCCCGGTAGAACGCCATTTACCGTTCAGACTGGCAGAACCGCAGCTGCTGTACCACCAGCCGCCACCTTCTGTAAAGGCACACTCCTCGTTAATGATGTCATCAAATATACATGGGGAGCAGCCGTCGTTGTCACGGTCGATGGTGCTGAAGCCAAAGCCATTTTGGTCGATGTCCGGATAAGTCCCAAGGATGGCATTGCCTTTGTGGATAGAGAGAACGCCTTTTAGAAATGTTCAACTTACAAAAACAAAACGCCATTCTTTGATATACAAACTTCCAACTTTATCTGAAAGTTTGTCTTCTGTTATGGTGTACAAAACACACTAGAGTATGGTTAGAAATGAAGTTACCTGCATTTCCGCTGTATCTCCCAACATGCAGCTTAAAAGCTGTAGACTCCTTTCCAATTCTGAAGTCACTGTACTCGGCATATGCTGTGCCGCCTTCATGGTCCCACAGGTCCACCCTCAAAGTCCACTTTTTATGTTTGTCTATAGTTAGAAGATGGACTCTCTCCAGACCAAGCCAATGGTCATCTGAGGAATCGGCAAAACACAATATTTTTATTGTCTCTACAATCTCCGTCAATGTGGAATCCGAAGCTTCAGAAGACAAACGCGTTCTGCCTTAAGTGGAGTAAAAAATAAGCAAAACAATAAGATTGTTACATACGTGCCAGAGATCCAAAGCCATCTTTGTAAGAGTCCCACTTCTCGGCAAAGGATACCACCGGTCCACTCCGTCTCTGAAACACTATCCATCCACCATCTGGACGTATCTCACAGTACACCTGTAGGAAAAGTCCAGGGAACATGGAGCATTTGTAGAAGCTGAAACCTTCTCGTTACAGCCTTATCAAGTCAGATTCAGAACCTTGAAGTGGGCGTTGCCTCCAGCTGGCTGGATCTCATAAACTCCGCTGGACGCTTGGGGCGACTGTCTCTGAATCTCTGAGCAATCTTTTTTCAAATAGCAAGAGCATCAACATTAGAGAGATTCCGGAAAGTTTTTACTCAACAAGCAGTAGCGAAACATTCCTTACCTTCAGGCAAAGCTGCTTTCTGTTAAAGGAGCGCAACAACACAGATTCAGTAAGACATTTTGTATTCGATAGTCGGACAATTTAAGAACAAGAAAATGGTGGATCTATAAAATGTGTATCCAAAGCCAGATTTTGCTATGTAAATTAGGAACACTGTGTAAAATCATTTGACAATTTTAAATTCTGTACAATTCAACTGAAAACAAAGGAGAAATCGGCAACACTTTATTTGAAGGGGGTTGAATAAGACTGTCATGACACTGTCATAAACACATGTCATGAACATGAATAAGCCTTCATGAATATTTATGACTTGTCGTAAAGCGTCATTCGGTAAATTATGACACTTTTAATACAAAGTTGACATTATTCAAAATGTCTGTTATGACAACTTGACATTAACCAAGAAATCATTACTGATATAAATTTGTTCTAAAAGTTTTACTGATTGCACTTTAAAAATTAGGTAACTTTATGTTATTAAAGGTAAAGTTTAAACAGTAATGATTTCTTGGTTAATGTCAAGTTGCCATAACAAAGACATTTTAAATAATGTCAACTTTGTATTAAAAGTGTCATAATTTACCAAATAATACTTTATGACAACAGTCATAAATATTCATGAAGGCTTATTCATGTTCATGACANGTGTNATGTCATGTTTATGACAGTATCATGTCAGTCTTATTCAGCCCCCTTCAAATAAAGTGTTACCGAGAAATCTAGTAATTAAAACTGTTTGTTTTTATAGGTGTTTAATACATTGTTGAATACAACATTCTAACATCAATTATAGTGAATCTAATATAATCAAATAATCAAATATATAGGCAGAGCGCTTTTGGCCTTTCTCCTAACTTATTGCAATGTCAAAATAATCCATAAATACGCTGGTGGGGTGAAGATAGAAAAGCAGGACATTAATGTAAACAACATGTTTCTTCAGAACTGATGGCAATATCTAAACTGATATTTTAGATATTACATTTAGTATGCAACTAAATGTAAAATGTATTTTGGCATTAGTAAACTCAGATGTCAAAGGACTTACCCCAGACTGGACCGAGCTGCTCAACAGAAGGAACCCAAGGTAGATGAGCAGAGCCTTCATTCTGACCTGGAGTCAAAAAGTGAATTTTAATTAAGTTTTACTTGTGGTTAAAATAAAACAGAAGCTTAGAATATACCTCCTATATTCTAGCAACTTTACTATTTAAGTTGTAGATGCGAAAAACATTTCAGTGCGTCTTCTCAAACTGCATCATGTCACCCAGATACTGTGCCTGGGAAACGCACATAAGGCACCAAGATGCAAAAAAATAATTTTTTTGTATTTTGAATTCCTCTTTTGAGCACTTTGAACGTACAAAAACTCTGTATGTCTTTGTCAAACAATAAAACAAAGCTTTGCTGCATACTAATTAATTCTTTAATTAGTTGTTTTTTATTATTATTGTAGCTGATTTTGTTTGAAAAACCAACACAACCTCAGGGGTCTTGTTTACTGTTAATACTTTTATTTGTCACACAATGTAGCTACAGAAACAATATATTGCTTAAAGTTTTTTTTTTTTTTATTATTTAAGCAACAGATGTCTCTTTTCCATAAGACCCACATGTAAATTAGTGAATATGTAATTCTGCTGTAAATATAACTAAATACTGAAAATGTATAATTGCTGCTGAAAATCCTAAATCAGCAGAAAAGCTATAAATGCAAAAACGTGCATATCCTGCTGGGATAAAAATGACAAATTAAATTTTAGTACTGTATTTTCCACACTATAAGGCACACCAGATCATAAGGTGCACCTTCAATGAATGGCCTATTTTAAAACTTTTTTCATTAATAAGACGCAACGCATTATAAGGCGTATAATAGACACTACAGTAGAGGCTGGAGTTAGGTTATGCACCAACTAGGTGGAGCTACACTAAACGGAATGTTAACAAAACAGTCCGACTCCAGTCGGCGAGGAGAGCCTTCCGCAACTGGGCCGGGGCGTGTATCTTTGCTGTAATTTTTAACAATTGATTCAATTTTAATCCACTATGCAGTTTCTTTTTACATAATTATTGGATTATTATTTGCAGCCACGCACTACGTTACATTGCAGAGGTGTGATGGCCAAACCCATGGCCACACTCCTATGTCAGTAACTCTTTTTTTATGCACAATTTATCTTTTCATACAAACACAACACTTTAGTTTCAATAAAAACAATTATTAGTTGATTTACATACATTTGTTTTATTTGTTGGCACGCACATTTAGTTAACAGATGTATTTATATCAATTTAAAGTTAATTTTGTTTGCTTAAGATTAACTCTTTGTTTGTTTTGCCGGTACTTACCTGCTTTGGAGTTGCCAGACAAAAGATGGGGACCAGGGTTCAGCAGGCTTAAATGTTGATTGGACTGCACCACTAGTTCCGGCTGGCAGGGGGAATGTGTAGTTTCTTTGTTTAGATAAGTTTTGCATTTAAGTAAATATTAGTATTTAAAGTTTAATATTTTTCATTTTCATTTTTGGGTCTTTAGTTTAGCAAAACTTAGCTGTACTGTTATTTGTTTTTGTTTTATTTGTAATTGTATTCTGTTTAGTTACCCCTGTTGTGTCTTAATTGATCTGATCAGCCAGTATATACACACCTGTGTGTCATGTTTTAGTAAAGTCAGCTAACCGCAAAACTATAATTTTGGAGAAAGAGCAAAAGTCCTTCGACAGTATGATGAAGGATGAGCGTACCGTAGTACTGTTAGACAGTTGTCCAGAAGTGGTATAAATATTGGAAATTATTATGAAGGACATGTTTCTGCAATACTGATGGTGAGACAGAAACTGGTCACTGAGCAAAACTGCTAAACCAGCAGGAACATCTATTGATGACTGGTTGATCTTTGCGTGCAGCGAACGTCTTTACCTTTGTCCATGTCTGGACTAAGGAGAAAAGTTGCAAGACAGAAATGCGTTCTGTGAAAGAAAACATTCAGACCAAACTGAACATTTCCAAACGTATGTAAAATCAGACCTGAACATTTGAGCCACAATTCCTTTGTGGATGCAGCTGAGTGTGGCATTACATTACTATAGATCAGGGTGCCCAAAGTCGGTCCTCGAGGGCCGGCATCCTGCATGTTTTAGTTTTCTCCCTAGTGGTAGTAACAACCTCCTCTCAGCAAGTCAATGTTCTCCTTAGGCCTCTAATGAGCCATCATTTGATGCAGGTGTGCTAAACCAGGGAGAGAACTAAAACATGCAGGATGCCGGCCCTCCAGGACCGACTTTGGACACCCCTGCTTTAGATGGAACCGGGTTTAACCTGTTGGTCTCAGGTTGTCATTCACAATGACAGGGGTGTCAAACTCCAGTCCTCAAGGGCCGCTGTCCTGCAGTGTTTAGATGTGCCACAGGTAAAAAACAGTGGAATGAAATGGCTTAATTACCTCCTCCCTGTGTAGATCGGTTCTCCTGAGCCTTGCTAATGACCTAATTATTCTTTTCAGGTGTGGTGCAGCAGAGGCACATCTAAAAGTCACTAGACTAAAAGTCTAAAAGTCACTAGAGGACCCAAATTTGGGTCCTCTAGTGACAGACAGGTTAAGATAAGGAGCAGGATGATGGATTTTTCTGAGTCCAATCTTGCAAGTTTTGAAGTAACGTAGATAGAATCCAGAACTAAAACTAATAGATCTGTGTGACTGACACAGATAAAAAAAAAATAGTTATGGGCAAGAAACATCCAGCAGGTCTGATATGTTTAGAGAGCTTTTGCAAGGTAGAGTGAGGAAATACTCACTCTGATGATGTGCTGTAACTGACTCAAAATTTGTCAGATATTGGTCTAAGGGTGTGTACATGGCCTGATTCATAATGACCTCCTTTTACTTTCCATAGAAACTGGCACTTTAGCATGAATGAGTCTGTATTTTACATCCAAGATAAATATAAATATCTTGTTCTTACCCCAAACTGGACTGAGCAGCTCAACAGAAGGCCCAGAATGAAGGCCAGATAGTTGGCCTTCATTCTGACCAGACACCAGAGTTCTGAACAATTTTGATGTAAAATATTCGTTATTTAGTCAATAACTTAAACACATGACATTTAGAAGACAACAACTCATTATAGGATGTTGTTTGTAAAGTTGCACAGTACAAAATTTAACAGCATTAATTTCTTTTTATCAGCCTGTGCTAAAAAAACTCAAATTGGGTGGTCATTTTTCAAAGTAATATTTTCACCATGTTATTCATACATTAATAAATGTCAGAGTTCCAAACTGAATACGTAATTTGAAGTTAAATATTCAGTTTGCAAACTAAATATTTCAAATACAATATTTAAGTAGAATGCTAAATATCTAATTTACAAACTAAGTCCCAACTTAAATATTTAGTTTGGAAACTAAAATATTTAACTTCCCAACTAAATATTTAATTTGAATGCTGAATATTTAATGTTGCTCCTACATTTATTAATGTAGGGGCAACATGGACAAAAAAAAAAAGAACACCCAGATTTTTTCTCTGATATTCTAAATAAACCAAATTATTGCTCTTAATTTTTTACTGTTTAACTTTACAAACTGCAAACCCCATAGATTGGAACCTATTCATTTCCACAGAAGGTAAAAATGACCATTAATGTCCGTCTTTCTTTAAATACATACCTGTGTGGTGAGAAACCTCGTATCCTAGGTCGATCGAATTTCTGACAATTACTGGCTGTTGTGCAGTACGTGACAACAATCTCCCGTCTTCTTCATATATCTGGGCTATGGGGTAGGGTGGCAAGACAGAAGCCTTATCTCTCAAAGAAACACATCAAAGCCCGGCTTAATTTAGCAAAAAGACATCTGAAATCTCCCAAACACATGTGGAAAAATGTGTTATGGTCTGATGAAACCAAGGTTGAACCTTTTGGACATAATTCCAAAAGGTATATTTGGGGTGAAAACAACACTGTCCCTCACCAAAAGAACACCATGCCTACAGTAAAGCATAGTGGTGGTAGCATCATGCTTTGGGGCTGTTTTGCTTCAGCTTGAACTGGGGCCTTAATCAGGGTGGACGGAGTTATGAACAGTACCAAATATCAGTCAGTGTTGGCACAAAACCTTCGGCCTTCTGTTACAAAGCTGAAGATGAAGAGGAACTTCATCTTTCAGCATGACAATGACCCAAAGCACACATCTAAATCAACAAAAGAATGGCTTCACCGGAATAAGATTAAGGCTGTGCCCAGCCAGAGTCCAGACCTGAATCCCATCAAGCATCTGTGGGGTGATTCGAAGAGGGTTGTGCACAAGGAGATACCCTCGCAATCTATGGGATTTGGAGCAGTTTTGCAAAGAAGAGTGGGCAAATATTCCCACATCAAGATGTACCACGCTGATAGGCTGGAGATGGGGCATGTTGGCGAGCGCCTGGTGACCGGGCTTTTACCCATGCTAACAATAGCATGATGGCTATTATTAGCATATTGAGTCACTAGCCTGTTGATTCTAACAGTAGGATGAGGGTTATCGCTAGCAGGTTGACAAACACAAAATTTGTGAGCTAACACAATTCAATATGCTAACATTAGTGTATAAATTAAAATGATCCAAAATGCTAAGTTTAGCTTAAGTGATGCAAGTAGGGCAAGTAGTATCAACATGCTAGTGACTCAATATGCTAATGATAGCCATCATGCTAACATTAGCCTTGTACCTAAAATAAGCATTTTACATAATTTCATATTTATTAGCAATATTTACCATACTGACTGGATTAAGTCAATGTAAGTAAACATGCTTGGTGACATCACATGTGTCACTGTGATGTCACCTGTGATGTGTCATCACACATCTCAGGTGTCATTTAGTATGCTAACATCATTCAGTATGCTATCATTAGTGTATAAATTAAAATGATCCAAAATGCTAAGTTTAGCATAAAAGCTGTCAGTAATGTATGATGTCACCAGCATGTTAATTTACAGTGGCCTAATCCATTCAGTATGATAAACATAGCTAATAAATATGAAATTATGTAAAATCTCACATCCTGCAAGATGTGATTATCAAAGCCAAAAATAAAACCTTTCTCGTAGTTTAACTTTGATTCATCAGAGGGGAATAAAACTGAACCCTCACATCTACATAAATAATTAAACGTGGAGCTTATACGTTCAGGTTTTCATGAAAGCCTGACCGGTTTTATAATTCAATAATAAAGGCTTAAACAAAGCTGATAAACATCAAAAACTCAGTTTTAAACTCCCTTTAATTCATGTTAAGCTAATGCTTCCTAGAACTATTATTTATGTTTTAGATGTACAAAACATGAGTCAATCGTCTTGAGCTGTTGAACACCAAACGCTGTTCAATGACCTAAGAAACAGTGAGGTGTCCAACACCTAAATGCAACGCCAGTTTTATTGCCAAAACTCCCATTTTAATGCTAAAAAACACAAATTTAACACAATTTTAACTACAAAGGAATTTCTTACAAAAATGCAACAACATTTTACACATGCCTAAAATGCTGTTGTGCGTTAATAGGCTTGGTTTGGCTATGAACAACTACCAGTAGGTGCCAATGGCAATTATTAACACAATTAACAGGTGATGGAACCAACTGATTTAAGGAATGAACTGTCAATTATTGTGTTGTTTAATAAATTTCCTGATGAGGTGTGTGATTTTACAAACAATAGATGGATTGAACTCGTAGCGGCTTTCTCATACAGCAAGTCCTATGCATATAAATACAGAATAAAAACAAATGACATTTCTCCAAATTGTAAGAATTTATTTCCAAAATACTTCAACTTCCAGGTGAAATACATCAGTCAAGAAACAAACTATGTTGGTAACATTCAACTCAGCTACAAAGTAAAAGAAAAATAATGAAAAGTAATAAACTACGTGAGTATAAAAGTAAAGCAAAGAAGCAAATTTGACTGTAACCAATAGAAAGATGTAACATCATAGTGTGATTTTGAAGCAACATATTGACATCACCCAGGGATCAAAAATGAAGGCCAAGGTTCCTACATTCTCCCTCACATGGACTTGATCATCATTCTTGTGGCTTTGGCTGAATAAGGGGCGGGTGGTTTCCAGGTGAGCCAGTGGAGACCAGAAGCCCAGCCGATGTGTTCCCCAGAAGGGTGCCAGTTACCATTGAGGCTGGCAGAGCCACACTGGCTGTACCACCAACCGCCTCCTTCCGAAAGGGAGCATTTTGTTTCAGCAATGTCTCCAAAAAGGCACGGAGAGCAGCCGTCATTGTCGCGGTCAACGGTGCTGAATCCAAAGCCGTTCTGGTCAATGCCCTTATAGGCTCCACGGATGGCGTCACCTTTTGGTAGAGAAGAGTTTATCTTAGGAAAGTATCTGTAGAACGCACCGAAATCTTGCTTTCTTTGCAAAATTTCAATTGGTTGGATCCATATGAAACTAGAGACAAGGAATTTTTAGGATTGTTGAGATTCTTTGAATTGCAGTGTTTGTCTTAAAACCCAAACAAAGATAAATTGAGCATAGCTATAGATTGTTAGAGTGATTCATTACTTGTTAAACAGCAATTGTTAATTCACGCAAGAATGTCCATCTGTTATCTAAAAAGGCTTATCCTTGCAGGGATGTCCAGGAGGACTGGTGCCTTTCTTCAGTTCTCATTTGGTGAGAGGTGAGGTACATCATGCACAGTTTGCCAGACCATCACAGGGCAACAGAGAAAAATAGGGCAAACAGCCATGCACACCCACATTCACACCTAAGGATAATTTAGAGAGACCAATTAATCTGACAGTCATGTTTTTGGACTGTGGAAGGAAGCCGGAGTACCCGGAGAGAACCCACTCATACAGGAAGAACATGCAAACTGCAGAAAGACCACAGGCCAGGAATCGGAACTTGATGCAAGGCATGTCTCAAGTTTCAGTGCCAAAGCACATCAAACAATGACAACTGTATCAAGAAATCTATTTTTTCACTATCACCACACTGCCAAGTGCCTTTGCAGCTAACAAAATGGACTTTTTGCAAATCCTGGCGATCAACTCTTCCAATTCATTCAAAAATGTTTCCTTTGTGACTCTTGCATTTTGGTAACCTGTAAAAGGTGTACCCCACCTCTTATCCAATGGCTGCTGGAGATAGGTACTAGCCCCCTTGCAACCTTGAACAGATTAGTGGGTGTAGATTATTTCGGGATACAGTAAACAGACAAATGCCCTAATATAATTGGATGGGTTTTTAAAGAGAAAAAGCTGTGTCCACTCTCACAGCCAACACTGCAACTCCCTTACAAAGGGCAGGGTGTTGGAAGGAAGTGTACTTCAAATGTTAAATGTTTCATCAAATCTTGCACAATGATCTTGCACAATGATTACAAACAAACTAGATGTTAAGAGGTTCAACCAATGTTTATCAGATGGTAGACAGAATACTTGCGTACCTGCATCTCCGCTGTATTTCCCAACGTGGAGTTTGAAAGCCGTTTTCTCATTTCCCAGTCTGAAGTTCTTGTACTCGGCAAAAGCAGTGCCACCTTCGTGGTCCCACAGGTCCACCCTCAAGATCCACTTCTTGGATTGGTTCTTTGTCAATGCGAAAACCTTCTTCAGACCCAGCCAGTGATCCTCTAAGGGGTTAAACACAGCACAAATACCAAAATGCTTGGGGGGTTTTCTCACAGGTTTGCACCAGTTGTGTAAAGCTGAACCTCCTACTAAAAAACCAAAAACCAACTCAAAGCATAATATGCTGGGTTTAACTTTTAAGTTTGTTCTCAAGTTGTCCCCCAATATTTAACTAAGTCCCTAAATAACATGTAGTTCACATACGTGTCAGGTTTCCAAATCCATTCTTATATGCTGCCCATTTTCTGTCAAAAGATACAGAGCCTCCACTGCGCCTCTGAAACACCGTCCAGCCTCCATCTGAGTTCATCTCACAGTACACCTGAAAAGGAAAAACAACAATCAATACATTGGCTGTCAAACGTGACCACACCCCTGATAAAATGACAGATTATGATATGAAAATATAACACCACTTTTATTCAACCTGGTTATAACCTGGTTGCACCTATGAGGCTGAGCAACTAGTTCTGCAGTTGCTATTTGGTTTTAGGCAACTCAGTCGGATCCCTTGGTCCCAGGCAGACTTCCATTCTGAACAGAATCATTAAAGGGCCCAAACACAATGTAGAGCCACTTTATTACATACATCTACCAAAAACTGAGTTAAAAAAAACCTTCCCGGCTTTATACCTCTCTTTTGATTCAACAAAATGTCTACAACATTGGCTCCTACTGACATATTAGCATCACGCAGGCGGTTTAGACTGCTCAGCTGCATGTTCATGATGTGAATCTCTAATTGTACCCTTCAGAGCACAGTGAACTAACTCATTGTTATGTTCAAGAAACCAAACTGAGGTGATTTGAACTTTGTGAAATTCTAATTATTGTGCTAGCGGTCCCCAAAATGACTACAGAAAATGACCAACGTCATCTGGAACAATACTAAGATTGGTGGTGGCATTTAACTTATGTGCCGTCTCAAGCTTGAACTGTTGGTACAAGTCAGGATGGATTCATGCTTTTATCTCAAATTCTGACCCTGAACATCTCAATGTTAGGCAGCTGAAAACGAGACTCTGAAGACGATTTTGCTGTTTACTGAGGTATTTGATTTTCCAAATATATCTGTTGTAACTAGCAGTTCTTTAAAACAACCTTTTCTGACCTCCTCAACAACCAATATTGGATATTTTTTAATCTTTTTTTATTTTTTTTTATTTTACATTTTTCTATCAACTCCAGAAATGGCTGTGTGTAAAAATCCGAGCAGCTCAGCAGTTTCGAAGATGCTGAGACTAGTTATCTTTCTTTCCCATTCTGATGGTTTGGTTTTAACTTTACTGCCTCCTCTACCCTTTTCCTTCGCCGTTTCTAGATGTTGACTTGGAGTAAGTCTTCCTTTGATTGGACGCTGTCTGCGTTAAACAGTTCAACTTGTGCACATCATAAGTAGTAGCTGGCACCTCACCGTTCTGTCGCCTACTTCACACCAATTAGAATCATTATGGAAAACTTAGTACAAACAGTTTTTTGTGTGTTTTCTGTTAAAACCTGCTAATCATCTTAAAGTACTTACAATTGCAATCAGAAAACAACAGTGTCAAGTAATCTGCTTAAGATCATTTACAATTAAAAGCAGAAATGTCTTCAATCGGTCACCTTGAAGCGGATATTGAGTCCCTTAGGCTGGATTACGTAGACTCCACTGGGGGCATCTGGAGACTGACTTCTGATCTGTGTGCAGTCTGTACCTAAAGTTCACAGAAATAAAGATAAGGATGACCAAAAAAAAATGTTCCGTCTTTGCATGTTCTGATAAACTTGCTATCATAAGCAGGGTTTTTTTTGTTGTTGTTTTTTTTACCTTGAGATTTGAGGGCTTTCCGCTTTTTCTATGAGAATGACAAACACAGGTTTAGTCCTTTGAATACAGATAAGTACAAGTTTTAACCCACAAATAAAGCTGAGTCATATTTACCGCAGCCTGGACTGAGTAGCTCAACAGAAGCGTGAATATGAGAGCACGATAACCGAGACTCTTCATTTTGACCTGCGTTTACAAGTGACATTTTTTAAATCAACAGTTATAATCTTTATTATTTTTCTTTTTTAAGAAACAGCATTTTCTCATTTTAAAGCATTTACAAACAGCTAAAAGCACAGATGTTCTAACTAACTTAGTGTTGCAGCCTAACTGCAACACTAAGGTTTAATACATACCTGCATGTCGGTTGGACCTTGCACCCCAGCTCACACTGTACAACAGAGCCAGCTCCTTTATACAACAGACTACACTGCCACACCTCCTTCCCCACTTCCCATAAGTGTAATCTTTTTTTCCCTCTCTCTCTATGAGGTCATGTTTAGTGGGAGGATGTTAGAACAGCAGCTCTAAGCTCCACTGCTTGGCTGGAGGAAAACAACCGTTATCCTCCGCCCTCTCAAACTATGTTACGCAAATTCTCAACAAGGACTTGTCAGTATTTCTGTCTGGAAACACTTCCACGCTCATTTCTTCTTCCCGCCTGGCCGAGCTACGCCTCTCAAAGTAAACAACCCTGCAGGCGACTCTAACAAGAGAGGAATGCATTATTCAAGAAGCGGGCCAAGCGACACAGATTAATGCCGTGAAGTCCACTTGTTCCGAACTGAGTGTTTTTCTTCAAAACCTAAAAGGTTGTGTGTATGATATCACTCCCTTACTTTCTCTTGAATATGCATGCACTGAATTCTTGCGTTCAGCATTCATCCAATTGGAAGAATAACATCAGAGTCCACTTTGCGGGTCAGTGGATCTCATGGTAAGAAGTGATAAAGCGGTGTGGGAGGAATTCTTACTGTAAATGACCAGGTCAGGGTCGACCTGTCTGAGAGAGACACATTTATTTCATCTTTAATGACTAACAGCATGAATGTGCAACACAATGAAGATAATCTGCTAGTCAGATAATGATGCAGCCCAAAGTCATTGATTTTGTTCTATTTTTGAAAACCTATCCACATTCAAATCGCATGTCAAAACATACCTTTTCAGAACAACTTTTAATATATGACTATTGCCCTGTTTAATGCTTATCCTGTTTTTTTAATGTAATATTTCTACGTTCTCCTTTTATAATTTGGTTTGATGTACTTAGGCTTCTGTTTGTAGTTTTGCTTGATGTCTGTAAAGGGAGTGTTGGGAAAAGCACCAAACAAATAAAACATATTATTATTATTGTAAATGTAGAATGCAAACAAACAGAGAACTACAACATAGTGAGGAGTACAACAAGTACTACAAGTTGTGTCATAATGAGTCACAACTTTCTGTTTCTGTCACCACATGATTATGGTCTATTACAGTATTAAGTCAGTCTGTCCACAGTACACATCAGTGAATGACTCAGAATTTCCTCCAACTTACAGGAGCCGTATGCACCTTTATAAAAGTGTCATTTTTTACAGATTTGCTAAAGCTGTCACTATATTGTGACTCTACAATATGAAATAGATAAACTGTAAAAAAATAAAATAAAATCATGCTCCTCTCCCTCCCCTCCCCCCCCTGTGATCATACAGCATCTGCAGGAAGACACATTCTGTCAGACACAATCAATCAGGGGCAGGAGGAGGGGCTTAGTGATGTCAATCACCCTCATGTACATTCCGCTCACACCATTTCCTACGCTACAGCTGGTTCACCACAATCACCTGGCCGAGCTACGCCTCTCATGAATGCAAAGGCTTGCTAGTATATCCACCATGACAATGGATAAACAGTTTTCCTCGGCCATTAACACATTTGACATTGCGTACACAAGGTTGATTGACAGCGCTAAAACCCTCCTCCTGGCTCTGATTGGTTGTTTCTGACCGGGTGATGTATTTGACTTAACAGAGGAAGAAGGCAGAGGAGCTACATTTTTTTTCAGATTTATCTGTCTCATTACACTGTCATGACATGGTGACAATGTTACAAAAACATATTTTTGTAAAGGTGAAATACTGCAGGTTTAATACGGAACAGAGGTCATTAATTTTTGTCCCAAAATGAAATATTTGGATAGGAACGACAGAACATGCAGGAAATCTAGGTGTCGTTATGAACTCAGACCTAAAGCTAGGATAAATGTTACTGGTCAGTTACACACTGACTGATCTTTACCCTTGGGTCATCAGTGACCTGCTCTGTTAAATTATAACTGTAAAGGTTACATTTACTGCAGCTTTCAATATAAGTCAGTGTTCATTTCGTGAGTTAATTTCTATTATTTCTTAACAAATTTCTTATGATTTTTATACATTTTAGTTTGATTCTTGAAGTATATTTCTTGTTTTCATGACATTTTCTGTATCTACATAGTTTCCGTCTTGTAGAACACTCTGAGCTACATTTGGTATGAGTGGTGCAGTACACTCGCTTGATCCGATAAGACAAAAAAACAAACAATCCATATCAGAACAAAAAGTACACAATCTCAGGCTCTGAACATGACCAAGTTTGGTTGTACTGAACCAAGTGATTGTCCCTGGAAATACCCTGCCTCAAATAACTTGGAGAGGCTCAAAATAATATTGACATGGTATTTTGTTTAATCTTTTCCTCTTTAGTTTTTGCAGTTTTCTTTTCAGGTCTTCGGTTTGCGACATAAGAAAGCAAAACCAGAATAGAAACAAAAAGTGTTGTACTCATAATAAAAATTTATTTTATTAATGAATGGTACCTTTCACCCATAAACTGAGTTTCTATTACAAATGTGTGCAAAACTTTGTTGATATTCCTCTAATGTCGAAATAACGCAATTTTGCAATTGTGGTACTTCCATTAAAAAAAGAAACGCAATTAAAATCCCATGTGAATAACTTTGCTCACCCAAAGTCATTAAAAAACAGTCACGTCATCCTCCACCTACCACTTCCTGTCGTCTTCTCCGTCATCTCTGGCAGTAGCAGCATCTTATTGTTGATCATGTGACTTGTGTGACGCAAAATAGTGTTTGCATTGCGGTTTTGTGAAGTATACTAATTTAAATACAACCAAAAAAAAACCACCTCATCAGCAAAACTTTTATTTTTCTAAATTGGCAGGTTTATAGATTTCCAAAATGTCAAATTTTGCGATTTTAAGATCGATGGAAATGCATCTGCTGTTACCCCAAACGCGTTCCTACGTATCCTAACTGGAACAAATAATGACAGAGCAGTCATCCTCTTCCATCCCAAACCCGGGGTAGAGCGGCTCGCTGAAGTTACTGTAGAACGTGTGAAGATGTTTGAGGCTCCCAGAAGACACCCTGTAGAAGGACAGGGTGCCACCAGGCCAGTCCAGATAGACCGCAACCTTCCGAGAGCGAGACGCGGGTACGGATATTTCCTTGCGCTCGTTGTCATGCTCGGCGCTGTAGTGATCTTCGGAGCAGAACAGACACCAGGACTGGTCCGTTTTGCCAAACGCAGACACGTGACTGTTCGCTCTGCGACTGATTCCCCTCATGGCGACGGCGATGTCCACCCAGCGTCCTCGCCACTCCACCTCCCAGTAGTGGCGCTGGGTAAGGCCTTGGTGACACAGGACCTGGGAGACACTTTCAAACCTCTCGGGGTGTTTTGGGTACGGCTGTGACTCCCTAACCCACGTCACCTGTTTACCTCCGTCGTGTAGAAAGAGAGACGTAGAGGCTGTGTTTGTGTCAAAGGTCAGGATGCAGGAGTCTGTAAAAAATAAACAAGTTTTATTTTTTAACTGGTGGTTTAACCCTTTGCCATGATGGTAATTAGGCCAAGTTTTGGCCATACATGGGACAAATCATTTATGTCGTTAAAGACATTATGATTATCCATTATTTCTCCCTTTCAATAAAGCCATTTGGGTTTGCACTTTCGATTATTGCAATGCTTAATCATTACTTTCACAACAAATAGTAACTTGCAAGAATCACACCACGTTTGATTATGCAAAGTTTTTGGAAGCTAATCAGGCTTTTTCAGTGCTATAAAATACATCAATTGGTAACATTGAAAGTCAAACATAACAGACTTCAGTAATGTTTTGAAACTTAATGAGGAGTTTAAATGGCAACAACAGCTAAACAAAAAAAATCTTTGGAGAAAGAATGGAAAGAAATATTTACAACTTACAATTTTTTAGTGTTGATTTCAGGTAACATTCCTCATTATGATCCACACTGTAGAAAGAAGTATTAAAAGAAACTCAAATCCTTAATCAATGTCAACCATAGAGTAGAGTACCATTGGGACACTGCTCCACACAGATTTTCCTGTGTGGAGAACATTTTCTGCTTAACAAATAAAGCAGCAAAACAGAAATCTGTCATTTTCTATGCATTTGTGTCCTCGATATGTCATGAAAACACATATTGAGGAGCCATATGCAGTAGGATGGAAGTAGAAATGTAGTAGAAAAAGTCCAAACAACTACAGATCACAGATTCAGCGACTTCAAATGATCTAGAACGCAGCAGCACAGCTTCTTACAGGAACCAGGAAGCATGACCATATAAGGCCTACTCTGGCATCTTTACACTGGCTGTGTCCAGAACTTTACGATCACATAATCAGTTATTATTGACAGTTCCTCGGACTCGATTTAAGAGGAAAGGAGATTGAGCTTTTTCTGTTGCTGCTCCTGTTTTATGGAATAACTTACCTTTCCAGATTAGATCTGCCCACAGCCTGGGTAATTTTAAATCACTTCTTAAAACTCATTTTTACTCTTTGGCATTTAATTGATGTATTGTTTTATATTGTTTTGTCATTTGTGTTGTCGTTCTTGTACAGCACTTTGGTGCAGTTTTTTACCCGTTTTAAAGTGCTATATAAATAAATTTGACATTGACATTGACATACAGATCATCACAATATAACTGTCAACTGTGTGGCATCTTGCATGCCTGAAGAAACCTTTTGAGTATGCCATGGGTTTTGCAAATAGTTTGAATTTGTTTACCTAGATTTTTGCAATACTTGAAGTTCATTTACCTTAAATGTTCTAGTCTACAAAGTGGATCGTCCCGCTGATCCGAGATCAGATCCGCTCCAGAGTCCTGGAGATAATTGTAACTGAGGTCCAGCTGCCTCAGGTGGGAAGGGTTGGAGCTCAGGGCTGAAGCCAGATGAGCGCAGCCTTTCACAGTGACTCCACAAAACGACAGGCTGCAAGACAGGGGTCATTCAAGACACTCTCTATACTCTAAAATTATTTTGATGCTTTCCTTGATTTGTTTGATAATTATATTGTGGTTGTTTTGGGGACAGAAAGGACCGTTTACCTCAAGGTTTCCAAGACACAGTTTGGGTTTGCTATTCCGTTAGAGAGCAACTCTACTTCC